CCATCCCATCAAACATACTCGCCCCTTCAGCCGTACGGGCGTTATAATGTGACGGTAATTCCCACTATTCGTTAATGACAGAGTAGCCCAAGAGTTGGCAGTGGCTAGCGCAGATAGCCCTCGTGTGGCTTTGCGCGAAATTCAAAACAAACCAAACCTTCTGAAAATATAAGAATTAGGATGCTGAACTAATTTTCGGTCTTATTGGTATAATCGATACTCCCGTGGTTTTAACCTGATTAAGTTATTATTGATTCCCATAAATATTCAATAAATCTCTGTTGAAATCCACCTTCAAAACCATCTAAGTCACTTTGATGTTGTTCCCCGGTGGGAAACTTACACCGCTGAAATATGAGGTTGGAATCCCCTCGGTAGACAGAGCACAGATAGCGCAATGTTTAGCTTTGTGCTAAAACAAACAAACATTTCAATTATTCAAAGTAGTGTACAATATTTCTATTTAACAATGGAAAGTAGAGCAGAGAAAGCATTTGGTACAGTACTGATACGCTTTTTAAAAAGACCATAATACTTGTCAATTATATTAAAGAATATTGTAACTTTGGTTAAACATGAATACCTAAAAATTGTTTGTTTTTATTTCAGCATATTTAACAATTGAGCAAAGTAATTACATTAGCTGTTTATTTCTCACTAAAGTCCTAGAATTTAAAAAAAAAGAAAATCTTTCAGGGTACATAAGTTTTAAATCTTTATTAAAACCAGTCAATACAACTCACCCCCCAACTTTGGGCTACTCTTTATCAACGAATAATGGGATTGACTGTCACTTTATAATAGCCCCATGGCTAAAAGGTCGAGCATATTCGGCGACAGGTTTCGATCTTGCGATCTGCAGATTGCGATTCGAGCGCCCCTAATCACTAAGCCATAACAGGGCTCATTAATCCGAAACATTCCATGCTACATCTGTTTGCAGCGTAGAATCCGTTCAAAAAATATATTTTTGACACATATTTCATGGTTTCTTTTTAAATATTCTTTGTCTTAAATCGATAACTTCACAGGATGCTAACAGTTACGAAACTTTGTCGTGAATATCGACAATGGGTAATGAATTTTTCCAAAAGATTATCTAAAGATTTCAGGATTAAACAATAAATATACACAAATTTCTACAGAACAACGTTGAGAAGATACACAAGCTTTTCATAGTAGAGGCCTGAAGCATGAGAAGTTTAGAATGAAAGCCAACACTATTCATAAAACAAGAAAGGGGCGTGTGTGTGTTTTTATAGTAAAGCCACACCGGGCTATCTGTTGTGTCCACCTTGAGGAATCGAACCCCTGATTTTAGCGTTGTAAATTCGTAGACTTACTGCTGTCTCACCGGGGTACAAGATGTGAGAGCGTTAGAAAGTAAATTCGAACTTTTAGCAGACGAGAGGTTAACTTTGAGTGTTGATTAAAAAAGATTAACTTTGAGTATGATTTTTCTCCAGGGCTATAGAAAAAAGGACGAGTTTATTGTAACGCAGATGCCTTTACCACATACTGTATATGATTTCTGGAAACTGTTATACAACTCTAAGGCTCGAACCATTGTGCTACTGAACGAAATGGAACCTAATGATGAGGTAGGTATAGGTAAATTTACGTAACGTATTTATTGTAATAAGTTCGAGGGGAAAAACTGCATGACTGCTTAAACGACCTCTATACTAATTTTACAATTTATAACCACTGTAGGCTAAACTTGCTAGCAATAGAATAAACGTGGTTTGACCAAAACGCTCACACTTAATTTTTTTTTCAAATATTTTAAACGATCATGTTTTACATCAGTTATAAATTGTTCGAAATAACCAAATATTAAAATGTTAATACCGGCAGTAATAAAACTATTTGATTTGTATTACTTTTCTGGGAAATTTTCCAGATTTTTTTTTATCTTATCGAATACACATTTTGATATTGAGGTTTTTATTCTAAAAATTGGAAGTAATATCAAAGTTCGTTTGGTGATTCGAAAATAAATGAAAAAAAGAACGATGTTAATTAATTCGTCATTAGCTATAGAACAATATTTGTTACAATATCGTCTAAGTTTCAATGTAACGTAGGCTGAACTTTATACACTTACAGAATTGTCCGCAATATTGGCCTGAGAATGGAACAATAACTTCAGAAGGACTTACTATAAAACACGTGAAAACAGATGACCATAACAATTACATAGTGAGATCCTTTAGTGTCCAGGAACAGAAACTACAGGTATAGTATACATTACTAAACTAAAAAAAAAGGTGTATTTCTTTAAAATGTTTTAATAGATGTGCTGGGTGATTGTAGTGCAACTGAAACATGTATTTAATGTATTTTTAAAACGTTTTAATAGATGTGCTGGGTGATTGTAGTGCAACTGAAACATGTATTTAATGTATTTTTAAAACGTTTTAATAGATGTGCTGGGTGATTGTAGTGCAACTGAAACATGTATTTAATGTATTTTTAAAACGTTTTAATAGATGTGCTGGGTGATTGTAGTGCAACTGAAACATGTATTTAATGTATTTTTAAAACGTTTAATAGATGTGCTGGGTGTATTGTAGTGCAACTGAAACATGTATTTAATGTATTTTTAAAACGTTTTAATAGATGTGCTGGGTGATTGTAGTGCAACTGAAACATGTATTTAATGTATTTTTAAAACGTTTTAATAGATGTGCTGGGTGATTGTAGTGCAACTGAAACATGTATTTCTTTCTTTAAAACGTTTTAACACATGTACCGGGTGATTGTTGTGCAACGGAAACACGTATTTAATGTATTTCTTAAAATATTTTAATAGATGTGCTGGGTGATTGTTATGCAACGGAAACATGTATTTATACATTTCTTAAAATATTTTAATAGATGTGCTGGGTGATTGTTATGCAACGGAAACATGTATTTATACATTTCTTAAAATATTTCAATAGATGTGCCGGGTGATTGTTGTGTAACGGAAACAAGTGTTTAATATATTTCTTTAAAATGTTTTAATAGATGTGCTGGGTGATTGTAGTGTAACGGAAACACGTGTTTAATATATTTCTTTAAAATGTTTTAATAGATGTGCTGGGTGATTGTAGTGTAACGGAAACACGTGTTTAATATATTTCTTTAAAATGTTTTAATAGATGTGCTGGGTGATTGTAGTGCAACGGATACATATATTCAATGTCGACTTCAATTATAGTTAAACGTAGGATATCGCTGTGCAAATGTCCCACACTTAGCTAATTTATAGAAATTCTTAAATCTTTAAACAAAGTTGCTATCTTCTGGTGTAATTTGGCACGTGTTGATAAAATTGATCAGATTGCTTGGCACGTGTTGTTCAATAGTAAAATTGACCATAAATGTATATAGATATAACTTAGTAGTTACTGATTGTTTAATATATTCGTGTTCGTTCACGGTGTAATACTTCAAATTTAGATAAATTATACTATTCTTATATGACAAACTTTTATGTAGAATAAAATGGTACATCGAGTGAGCAAAACGTGCAACTAACAACGCTTAGTGCTGAGGATATTAAGAACTTACAACGACAATATAAAACAGTATCGAAAATGTGGCTGAAAGTCACAACTAGCAAAGAGTAAATAACATAAGCATATTTATTTTTTAGTAGGTTAAACATATACAACGACAATATAAAACAGTATCGAAAATGTGGCTGAAAGTCACAACTAGCAAAGAGTAAATAACATAAGCATATTTATTTTTTAGTAAGTTAAAGCATATACAACGACAATATAAAACAGTATTGAAAATGTGGCTGAAAGTCACAATTAGAAAAGAGTAAATAAACTTAAGCGTATTTAGTTTGTAAGTATTTTTAGTAAGTTAAAGCATTTTTGGTTGAAAGCACCTCAAACATACAGAGATCTTTTACTTTCTTCTGCAAAGCAATATACAATAAATTTTATTTTTAACTTTTATTACTGAATATGAAAAATTCAAACTTCAAAGTAAAACATAAATCCTTAGCAGACGAAAGTAAGTCCAAACAACATATTTCAGTTCAGTATCACAGATTTTATAATCAGTAGATTGGTTTGGATAGTACTCTTTTTGTTTCTACTAATATTTTAATCTTAAACGTTCCAGAGCACTACCACTTCAACAACAATCAAACAGTTTCATCTGAAGGGGTGGCCAGTTTCTCAGGAGATACCCACAAATACGAATTCCTTCCTTTGTCTCATCGATGGAGTTAAGAAATGGCAAACTCAATCAGGAAACCATATTATTATTGTTCAGTGCTAGTAAGTACAAAAATCCATGTTATTCTTGTTCAATGCTAGTAACTACAGGAAACCATGTTATTCTTGTTCAGTGCTAATAAGTAAAGGAAACCACGTTATTATTTTTCAGCGCTAATAAGTATAGGAAACCATGTTATTCTTGTTCAATGCTAGTAACTACAGGAAACCATGTTATTCTTGTTTAGTGCTAGTAAGTACAGAAAACCATGTTATTCTTGTTCAGTGCTAGTAAGTACAGGAAACCATGTTCTTCTTGTTCAGTGCTAGTTTGTACAGGAAATCATGTTATTGTTCAGTGCTAGTGCGTACAGGAAACCATGTTATTCTTGTTTAGTGCTAGTAAACACAGGATTAGCGCAAACGGCAGTAGAGATTGGAATCTTATATGACCACGACGGATGATGACAAATTTGATATATATGCAGAAAGGAACCAACAGAGGTATCTGAAATGATGAAAACTGTTCTGTTGCTTGCTTATTTGAAATAGGGTTTGTAGACATAATTTTTCTTCCGCCTTGAGCCAACTTGAACCGAATATTCCATCATCATACTGCAAGGTCCAGCCGTATATCAGGTGGTCATATCCAGTTAAATAATGTGGAACTGAATAAAAAAACGTGGTGTTTAAAACACAATAAACTTAATACTATTGTCTCATGATAAATGTAAGTAATCATATCAAACCAAAGTCATGTAGAAGTAGATTAATGTGTGAACTATTCTAAATAGAGATATTATAATTTGCTGCCCCACCCCATCAGTGGCTCAGCGGCAGGTCTGCAGGCCTACAATGCTAAAAATCGGGTTTCGATATCTATGGTGGAAGAGCACAGGTAACCCATTGTGTAGCTTTGTGCTTAATAATAACCAAACCATTTAATTTGCTTGTGTCAAGCCTTTGTATATTGTGAGTTTTTTCTTTCTTTTTTCTACCGTAACATTGTAGCCCAAAGTATTGAGAAATTGAAAGTTTAAAAAAAAATTATGATTATTTTCACTGAAGCTTTTTATTTTTGCACCTGCTTGTATTTTCCTGCACACCTTAAAATAAAACAGTACATTCAAATTGGGAGTGGAGTGTTGGAGAATGTTAAGTTGTACTTAATAATCCTCTGGTTGGGATGAGAGATTTAGCTGATTTGAATGTGTATATGTTGTACTAATACTGTGTATTTTTTTCTAATTGTATAGGTACGTTGTGTTTTAAGGAGTGATACGGAATAAGAGTCGTCAATCACGAACTATTTAGCTGAGATCACTTTAAAAAACTCAGAACGTTTTTGCCCATTACCTTTGCTATTTTGGAGTTAAGTTAATTATCATAGCTAGGCATGGAGAATGTAGAGCAAAATCCAACCTTAGTTTTATAGAAAATTCAGTGTTGTTCATTACACTAAAATAATAAAAGGTGTAAATATTTAAAACAATACAGAACACTGATTTATTTATTGTTATAAAATTGAAATCCCCATTGTAATTTTCAGATAACTTTATTTTTAGCCTGTATCTGCTAGTTTATAACCGTAATTAGCAAAGTTTAAAGTTTGTTGAAATATTATGATATATCGAACTCGCATTATTTATTGTCAAGAATTCAAATTAGATACAAAATTATAATTCAAATTTCAAAGTCCTTTTATGATCCTTTGTCTTCAACACATAATGGGTATAAGTCGCTAAATCACAAAACTAAGGTCGTTCTAAAATTTTTTCTAATTGTTGTCTTGAAATTTGTACATGTTCTACAGTAATTCCTGTACGCTGGATCCGAAAATGATATCCATATTTCTCCATCACGTTCAGATTTTTCAGAAAACGTCATAACGCAATACGTAAAAGACAGACCACAACACGTAGATTTCACACACAAAAAATCAGGATGAATGAGGATGCATATTCGTTTGACATCGATGTTCTTCCCTTTTCTTCAGTTTGTTTGTATTTTTGTTAATAAACATAATAATAAAAAAATGTTCATTGGGGTAAACGAAATAATAATTTGATCTAAGTAAGAGTTTTTTTTTTCGATTTATAAGAAATCCTTACGCGATAGAAAAAAAAATGAAAATTATTTTCGAAATCTGCGTAGCTGAATTATGGAAAATCCATTATTAAAACCAAAACAACTTTTATGAAGTTTAAATTCGCAGGCCTGTGTAATTCATACTTTTCTTACAGTAACTGAGAATCTGTAAGTAAATGGTTTTCACGAGTGTAATATTTAAAACGAAATATGTTTTAATTTGAGGTTTAATGATGTGTCCTCCCTTTTTATAGTGTTATTTATTAGAATTTCAAATAGCTTAAAATTGAGTTAAATGATACCTTAAATTTAGTCGTTAGATATATGCCGATATATCTCCAACTTTAGAGAATAAGCGGGAGTTTCGCAATACATATTTAACACTATAAGCTATGTATGTTTCTAAATATAAATTTAATCCAAACAAACGTTGAGATTAAAACAAATATTGCAATAACAAACGTTATTAGTAGTCTGGCATGGCCAGATAGTTAGGGGTTTGACACGCAATCTGAGAGTCGCGCGTTCGAATCCCCGTCACACCAAACATGTTCGTCCTTTCAGCCGTGGGGCCGTTATAATGTGACGGTCAATCCCACTATTCGTTGGTAAAAGATTAGCCCAAGAGTTGGTGGTGAGTGGTGATGACAAGCTATCTTTCACTGTAAATGAGGATTGGCTAGCACAGATAGCCCTCGTATAGCTTTGGGCGAAATACAAAACAAACATACAAACGACTTTTATATTTTTGACATATAATTTACACATAATATTTAGTAAAAATGCCTGTCAGAATGTTTGTAAAGACATTTCGTAGAAAACATAAAATTAACTAACATTATATTTCCTTTTAAAGCGATGGTGCTCGAGCTTGTGGAGTCTATTGTGCTTGCGTGTTTATGTTGGATAAGATGGAAGAAGAAAAAGAATTTGACGTGTTTCTCGCAGTTCGTAGTATTCGAACAAACCGTCCACAGTTAGTTAAGAGTTTGGTACGTATTGTAACCTTTAATTCTTACCAGCGTGTATAATCTTTTCTCTGTCTTTCTCTCTAATATTACGTCGGCTTTCGCTCTTTGTGTAACTCTGATCTTTGTGAGAAGAGAAAATTTATGTCAGTCATTGAAATGTACCTTAAAAAAATCACGTTTTTAAGTATTAAGTTGGCCCGGCATGGCCAGGTGGTTAGGGTGCTCGATTCGCAATCTGAGGGTCGCGGGTTCGAATCCCCGACTCGCACCAAACATGCTCGCCCTTTCAGCCGTGGAGGCGTTATAAAGTTGCGGTCAATCCCACTATTCGCGGGTAAAAGAGTAAGCGGTGGGTTGTGATGACTAGCTGCCTTCCCTCTAATCTTACACTGCTAAATTAGGGACGGCTAGCGCAGATAGCCCTCGTGTAGCTTTGCGCGAAATTCATAACAAACAAACAAGTATTAAGTTCACGGAATATTTTCATTGTAGTAGCCAAGTGTTTATATCATTTGTAGTGCTTTTGATAATAAAACAAATAAGCCATTGTGAATATTGAGATGTAAATGTTTTACTTTAATTGGAAGCTGTATTAATTTGCTCGATTCACTAACGAATTATTCTTTCTTTCTTATACAGGATCAATACAAATATTGTTACGACGTAGCTGCCACCTATGCCGATGTTTTTCAAATCTATGCTAACTTCCAATAGGTATATCTCACACAAATAATCATCAGATTTCTCAGATACTATTATATTTGTATAGGTTTTGAACACGTGTCTAAGTGACAACATATTTATCTTATGACATTATAAAGTATTCTGTGAAAATCATTCCTTTTGTTGTATCACGTCGTCAAGTTTCTGTTGTTACGATAACTACATTATACATGGTTTGAAATACGACTGGAATTTTGTATGCTATAAAGTTCACTCACACTGCAATCTGAAAATGCTGTAAATGTGGAACAAGATGAACATTGAAGTTTACAGTACTTACCTGAGTACATGATGTGTAACGTGTTGAATATTTTTGTCCTTATAATTTTAATTAATGTTCTCAAAGTTTCGATCACCAGTAAAGAATAAGCTTCAAAAGTTTTGAAGTTTTTAATGTGCTTGTAAGAAATTGAGTACTTTGAAATCTTTTACAAGATGTATGAAGTAATTAGTATATTTTTACAATGTGATCTTCCTTTCTTACAAAATAAATCTATTTCTTCAAATTATTTCTTAATGTGTTAAGTTTCAAGTCCTTAAAAAAATTAAAGACCTGTGTTTTTAATGACTCGAAATTTTGTATTTTTTTAAATTGAAAAATACATGTATGTAAGAATGATGTAATGCAAATGTTATACATTAATCACGTGATCTCATGTCTTACATCTTCACAGTTTTGCGTAATCAAATGGGAATATATATATATATATATATATATTGTAAGAACTGGAAATATTATAATGATTTGTTTTTTATACGTGAGACTTTGTACTATCTGTATAATGCAAACAAATAAAACACAGTTTGGAAATCAACTTTTTCAGTAAAACTATTATGATATTCTTTTTTGTCCAGGTATTTTAATTTAGTTATAGTATTTTGGCACTTGTGTATAAAGTTAAAATCATAAATAATATTCAACGTTAAACTGGTACACAATT